CGGCCGCCCCGCGCCCCGCGCCCCGCGCCCGCCCTCCAGCTCGTCGGCAACTCTTGCCCAGGAATTACCGCTCCGCGAGGCCTCAGCCAAGGTTTCCGCCACAGCCGGCGGCAGCGTCACCACAGCTTTTACGAATAAGCCGCCAGAATCAGCTTGGCGAACGGAGCCCTGCCCCCAGACAGGCTCCTCCCCTGGCAGGCCCCGCCCCCAGCCTCACGCGCTTGGTCCCGAGGCCTCAAGGGAAGTGTAGTTCCCGCTGGGCCCCCTGCCCTTGTGCACGGGCACTCCGGGCCCAAATAAACTACAACTCCCGTCACACCTCGCGACAGACAGTCGTTGCCTAGGGGATGAACGCCGCACGGCCTTCCGGACAGGCGTGATGCAGAGCTGTCTGGAGCGGGAGGAGCGGCGGGAACATTTATTAGAGCCACCTTCCATGATGGAGGGCACTAGGACTCTTGTAGGCCTACAAGGAGTGCCCATGAGAAAGCACAGCTAGCTCCGAGTGTCCGGCCGATTAACCTATCCTGGAAACCAACAATTTTAGAGAGGTTTTGCTGTTTTGATGTTTGCTTTCCGCTTTGACTGGATGTGTTTTACTAGAGATCTGGGGGTTTTTTAATGGGAGGGGGAGGTGGTCACACTGCTGGGTAAAGTGAAGATTACCCTGAGAAATCCTTCCAGCGCGGAGCCCTTTGGTGTGTACCTGTAATCCCTGCACTCAGAAGGCTGAGGCAGGAGGATCGCCTTTCGAAGTCAAGCTGAGCTACACACCAAGATCCTGTCTCAAAAAAAAAAAAAAAAAAAGAAAGAAAATCACTCCAGAAGCAGTCGTCAGCCGTCTCTCTTCAGCTGGCTAGTCGGTGGTTTGGCACAGTTAAAACTGTTTTGGAATTAAAATGTGTTAGGTTTACATGCCAACTCCCCACAATGAATGTAATCGTTATGTACCACAAACATGTCCTAATAAAAATTTTAAAACTTTATTTTGAGCACTAAAAGTGTAGATTTGAAGGGTTTGTTTTTCCAGTAGGCTGTTTCAGAGGTGCAGATGAGGTCCTTTAGGAAGTTATAGCCTTGCAGGGTGTGGTGGCACACGCCTATAATCCCAGAGGTTGATCCAGGATTCCAGTGAGTATGAGGCCAGCCTGGGCTACATAAGTGAGTTCAAGGCCAACCTGAATGACATAGCTAGATCTTGTCTCCAAAAAAATTGAAAATAAATAAATTTTTTAAAAGTTACTGCTGGGCTGGGGATTTAGCTCAGCGGCAAAGCGCCTGCCTGGGAAGCGCAAGGTCGTGGAGTTCGATTCGTGGTACCGGAAGAAAAACAAAAAAACAAAACGAAATAAAAGTGACTGTCTTTAAGTTACAAGTGTATATCTCTAGCTTCATGTTTGTCTGATTAAACAGCGGACCATGTAAAACCTTTAAGGAAATCAAATGAAGTGCCATTTATAACAGCTGGAGTAATGGTTGAATAAAATCAATAATAGTTAAAAGATAATTGCAAACATTTTCCAGAACTTTGGACCCCCAAAATTTGTTCTGCTTTCTACTTCAGAAATTACGCTTGGAAGCTGGGGAGATAGCTCAGCAGCACAGCTCCTGCCTGACAAGCACAGCGTCCTGAATTTGATTTCCAGAACCAAAAAAAAAAAAAAAATTACCCTTGGTAAGGGTAATTAGCTGGGTAAGGTGTCACACACCTAAAATCCGAGCTACACAAATGGCTGAGACAGTAGGACTGTACAAACCCTGCCTGGGCAACTTAGTAATTTAGTGAGACCGTCTCTCAAAATTTTAAAAATTTTTAAAGAACTAGGGATGGCTGGGCATGGTGGTGCCCACCTGTAAATCCACCCCAGTAACCAGCAGGCTAAGGCAGGAGAATCTCCAAGAGTTCAAGGGCCAGCCTGGACTACATAATAAGATCCTGTGTCCAAAAAGAAAGAAAGAAAGAAAGTAGGGCTGGGGGTGTAGCTCTGTGCAAAGATCTTGGCTACACCCAGTGTAGTGCACACCTGTAATCCCAGCACTCAAGAGGCTGAAGCAGAAAGATTGCCCCGAATTTAAGGCCAACATGGGCTACATAGTGAGTTCAAGTCCAGCCTGAACTACAAAACAAGATTTTAAAAACCCAGGATACTGTTGCTGGCTGGGCATGGTGGTGCACGCCTGTAATCTCAGCACTCAGGAGGCTGAGGCAGGAGGATTGCTGTGAGTTTGAGACCAGCCTGGGCTACAAAGCAAGCTCAAGGCCAGCCTGAACTGCATAGTGAGATCATCTCAAAAAGACAAAAAAAAAAAAAAAATTATTGTGTCTTTGCACGCAAACTATCCTCTACTTTTTATGCTTACATTTTATTCCTATGTTTATTTCATATAACAATGCAAACTGGCTGTTTAAGGTTCCAGTGTGTAAGTTACCTTCTGTAGCCCAGGTAATTTTCAAAGCTGCTCTCCAAATCCATGACAAGATGGAGAGGGCCTTCCAGCTTCCGCTCTGCAAGGCGGTGAGTTTCGGCCTCCTCAGCTGCTCCTGTACTTCATATCTTTAAGTATGGCTACCAGAGAAATTACACTAACAGCTCCCGCACAGGGTTTAGCCCCAGATTACCCACTCTGACACAATCCTAAAGCCTGCACCGAAGGCAGGAGGGCACTGTTGTGCAGTGGGGAAAGAGCACAGGCTCTGGGATTGGAGGCCTGGGACCAAGCTTTAGACTGGCAACATACAAAGGGCTTGTAGTCTTCAGGCCTTAATCTTTCTGAAACTAGTCTTCTTGTTTGCAAAATATAGATGTTAATAAAGAGAAACACTTCACAGGATTGTCATGACAATTACATTAAAAGAAAAAATAGCTATGAACACTCCTCAACTCTTGGCCATGTGGCTTCAACTACAGATGAACTCACTACGTGCCAAAGTCCAGCACTGCAAGTCATGTCAAAGGGTGAGGCAGACACAGTATATTACTTGGTATAGCTTCTTAAAAATTCTGCTGGGTGGAGTGGTGCACACCCTACAGCCCAGCACTTGGAAGGCTGAGGCAGGAGGATCGCTGCAAATTCAAGGCCAACCTAGGATATAGTGAGCTCAAGGCCAGCCTGAACTACATAGCTAGACCCTGTCTCAAAAAAAAGTTTTTATCTGACACATATTAGTAATACACATTAATGGAGTAGAATGTGGTCTTTCAGTACACATATAATGGGTAATGATCAGACCAGAGTAATAGATGCATCCGTGTCCTCAGACATCATTTCTTCGTGTTGAGAACATTAAAGTCCTCCCTCCTGGCTATCTGACACATCAGCTGTCGACCGCAGTTACCCTACTGCGCTACAGAAATTTAGGAATTATTTCTCTTACCCAACTGTGTCCTGCACCACTGACCACTGTCTTAGCCACTTTCCCCGTCACTGGGGAATACTGATAGCCACAATTTAAAGGATGAGAAACTGATTCTGGCTCGTGTTCCAGAAGTGTCAGTCCTTTCATGCTTGGCTGGCAAAGCTGCTCACCTCATGGATGAGGGTGAGGGGGCAGTGGGAAGGGAGATGAACCCTTCCAGGTCCTGCTCCAGTGACCACCTCTCGGAACAGCAGGTCAGCTAGACGCCCCCATAATCCATCACCTTCCAAGACCACCTCCAGCTGTGAGCACAGGAGGCTCTTGAGGAACAAAGAGACATAAACTGTAACAACCATCCCCTCTCCATCCTCTCTTACCTTAACTGTTTTTTTAATGTAGTCAGCCTGGGTATAAAAGCTGACCGGAGAGTTGGGAACCTTTTGTATCTGCACTATGGTAGCAGTGACTGTCCCAGCAAGAGAGGAAAAAAGTACGGGCCTGGCCAAGGACTGCTCCCCAAGCCCCGGTCATCCAGGAAAGCCTAACTGAGAGGGGCAAGGACCTGGCGCCGGGGCAAAGGCAGGGAAACCCCACAGCCCACTTCACCTGTGGGAGGGGAGGGGAAGAGCCTCGCCAAAGTCCCAGCTCAGATTTCTGGACTATGCTACTGGTCGTGCAGCTAAAGCTCAAGGCATGAGCCAGGCATGGTGGCGCACGCCTGTAATCCCAGCACTCAGGAGGCTGAGGCAGGAGGATTTTTGTGAGCTCAAAACCAACCTAAACTACAAAGTGAGCTCAAGGCCAGCCTGAACTGCATAGCGAGACCCTGTCTCAAACAGACAAATAAATAAATAAATAAATACAGCTCAGGGTGACCTAAGAGTCTCCACACATGGGGATTATCCCCTCTACCACATTCTGAGACACCTGGCCTACTGCGCTCAGTGTGCAGCAAAGAGAATTCTGTCCTGAATCTTTGCTACAACAACAGCAAGCAATAGCTTTGCTTTCTTCTTTTTTTTTTTATTATGAAATGACATTTCTTTTATTTTTAATCAGATTTTATTGGTATATTTTAGATATAGATAATGATCACATTCATCATAGAGAATTTGTACTGGTACATGATACTGTTGCAGGAAAAAATGAATCAACAGTAGCCAGGAGCTCAGGGAAGAAAGAAAATTTTATTGACTCCAGCTGACCCCAGAGGAATAATTTCCAAAGCCTGAGGTGGAGATTACAGAGAGCATGTCTTATTTACAGGGTGGTAAACAGAAGTTATAAGAACAAGATAAGCTTTTAGTTGAGGCTCTCCATTGAAAGTATAAGCAGCAGATTGAATGAAGGGGAGGATAGACTATCAGATCTAGAAGACAGGAACTAGTGACCAGGAAAGGAAATATATCGTAAAAGGTATAAGAGACCACGAAAAATCAATTCAACAGCTACAGGATGAAGCAAAGAACAACAACATAGATTGATTGGAGCTGGGTGTGGTGGCGCATGCCTGTAATCCCACTGCTTGGGAGGTTGAGGCAGGAGGATCATTGCAAATTCAAGACCAGCTTGGGCTACAAAGTGAACAGTGAGCTCAAGACCAGCCTGAACTGCAGAGTGAGACCCTGTCTCAAAAAGACCAAAAAAAAAAAAAAAGAAAAAAGAAAAGTAAAACAAATTAAGGTCTTTGAACTACGAAGGGAGCACAACTGTAATAATTATAGATTATTTCACACCAAAGATAATGAAAGCTAAAAGACAACGGATTATTTTTTTTCCTGGCACCAGCAATTTTATTTAGTATATGGTAGAATATAAATACATACTAATACATCCTGGGCTGGGGCTTTAGCTCAGTGGCACAGCGCCTGCCTGGCAAGCGCAAGGTCGTGAGTTCAATTCCCAGTACCGGGAAAAAAACAAAAATAATAAT